AAAGGGAAGGACTTTTTCCAATATTGCAGATCTGTAATAGGTTTGCCCTCTGCTTAGTTACTACTGTTTCCTTTGCCCAGTACTGTGAAAGAATGTGGATACTGTTTAGATTCACTGTTAAATTTGCTGCTTATTTCTAAGTTTTCTGACCCTGGAAACCTAATTTGCATTCAGCCAGATAGTTGTGACCATCTAACAAGGAACTTAATAGCCCTAACTGGTTTGGCTCAGTGGATATAATGTAGTCCTGCGGACTGAAGGGTCCAGGTTCGATTCTGGTCAAGGGCATGTACCTTGGTTGTGGGCACATCCCCAGTAGGGGGTGAGCAGGAGGCAGCTGATCGATGTTTCTAACTCTATTCCCTCTCCCTTCTTCTCTGTAAAAAATCAATTAAAAATATTTTAAAAAAATGTTTTTATTTATTTTAGAGAAAATGGGAGAAAAATATTAAGCTGTCTCCTGCATGCTCCCGTGCTGGGGTTATCTAGCCCCAAACTCAGGCATGTGCCCTGACCAAGAATCAAACCAGTAACCTGGTGCATGGGTCATTGGTTAATTATTTTTTATAGGAAGTCTGGTTTATCAATTTCCCTTTTATTGTTATTTTTTTAAGCTGTGACATTTTATTTTTTAAACCTCACCTGAGGATATCCTTAGAGGATCAAACCTACAACTCAGGTATGTGCCCTGACTGGGGAACCCAACCAGCAACTTTTTAGTGCAGAGGATGACACGCAACCAACTGAGCCACACTGGCCAGGCCATTGGTTGCTTCTTGTGTGTGCCCTGATCAAAGATGAAACCCACAATCTTAGTATATTAGGATGATGCTCTAGCCAACTGAGCTACCTGGCCAGCGCCTACATATTTCTTTTTTTTAAAATTTTTATTACAAAGGGTGTTACATATGTGTCCATTACCCCCCCCCCGCCCTAGACAGTCCCCTAGCCTCCCTTATCCCCCAGTGTCTTATGTCCATTGGTTATGCTTACATATTTCTTTTCTTTAAATTATATTTTTATTGTTTTCAGAGAGGAAGGTTGCCTCCTACATGCCTCCTACTGGGGTTTAATCCTGAAACCCAGGCATGACGAGAATCGAACCTGGGACCCTCAGTCTGCGGGCTGACTGATGCTCTTATCCACATATTTACTTTTCCCTCCTTATTTTTTCATTACAGAATTGAAGATGATGCTCCTGCTCCTTCTACCTCTGCAGATAAAGTGGCGAGGTAAGATTATTTACCTGATACAGTTAGGTTTGTATTTAATTAAATTCATTATTGTGGGGTTTTTTGCAACTTGCCCGTACTTTATTTACTGGTTAGAAAGCCTTTATGTTCTAGGCTCTGCTCAGTTGCTGCTGTTGCTATTTGTTTCAGGATCTAGGGTGGATACTCTCACATAAAATCCTATTTTAATTCCTTCTCTGGCTGTTCTTTTATGGATTCTTAGCTTTGTGTAATTATACCTACAATGGAACCTGTCCTAAAGTCACCAAGATACTCCAACATCACATGAGAGGAAGGAAGAGGAGAGAGAGATAGAAACATCAGTGATGAGAGAGAATCATTGTTCAGTTACCTCCTGCATACCCGCTACTAGGGATTGAGCCTGCAACCCAGGCATGTGCCCTTGAACGGAATCGAACCCAGGACCTTCCAGTTTGCAGGCCGAAGCTCTATCCACAGAGCCAAACTACCGAGGGCTATATGTGCATATTCTAATTCTCCTAGTTAACAAGAGATGTCCAAGGCCAGCCACAATACATACTAATGAACCATATAATACTGCTTAGGTACACGGGGAATGTTTTTGACATCTAAAATTTCTACGAGCTTAAAAGGGCTTCCCCTTCCTGGTCCAGGCAGCCATGGGGAGGAGTCAGTTTCGTTATGTTTAATAGGTAACAGGTAAGACCAAATATTAAGGTATTTATTTGTAAATCACTGAAGAACTGAACGAAGCCCAGCCAGTGTTGCTCAGTGGTTGAGCATCGACCTATCACAGTTCAATTCCCAGTCAGGGCACATCCCTGGGTTGCAGGTTTGATCCTTGTGGGGGCCAAGTGGGAGGCAGCAGATCGATGTTTCTCTCTTATTGATGTTTCTATCTATGCCGCTCCCTTTCTCTCTCGTAAAAAATCAATTAAAAATATTTAAAAAAAATGTTTTTATATATTTTAGAGAAAATGGGAGAAAAATATTAAGCTGTCTCCTGCATGCTCCCCTGCTGGGGTGATCTAGCCCCAAACTCAGGCATGTGCCCTGACCAAGAATCAAACCAGTAACCTGGTGCATGGGTCATTGGTTAATTATTTTTTATAGGAAGTCTGGTTTATCAATTTCCCTTTTATTGTTATTTTTTTAAGCTGTGACATTTTATTTTTTAAACCTCACCTGAGGATATCCTTAGAGGATCAAACCTACAACTCAGGTATGTGCCCTGACTGGGGAACCCAACCAGCAACTTTTT